TTTCTTCTAGTTTATATACATCATTAGGAAGCATATTTGGCACAATATCATAAATCCTACAGGGGAAAACACAGTGTTTTGTATTTTTCTTAATTTGAGAGACACAGAGAGAGAACATGAGTGGGGGAGAGGAGAAAAGGGGTGGGGGGAGGGAGAATCCTAAGCAGGCTCCATGCTCAGTGTAGAGCCCGTTGTGGGCCTTGATCCCATGACCCAGGGATCATGAACTGAGCTAAAATCAAGAGTTGAACTCTCTACTGACTGAGCCACTCAGGTGTCCTCTATTTTTTCTAGGTGATGAATTAGTGAAACTCTTCATGAGAATTATAATCTGTGTGATAGCCTTACTAGGATATCTTTATCAAAGTTATAAAATTTAATCTGAGGGAAAAGTGATGGTAGCACAAAATAAAGTATGTAAAGTCCCATTTTATGAGCAGATATGAAGCCTACAATTATTTAGAAACTGATCATATTTTTGAGATACTAAGCTCCTTTATTTTTCTTCATCCTTTATATCTTCTGCTTACATTTTATTCATTTTTCAACCTATTTATACAACCTATTCTGGGAGAAAGAGGGAAAAAAGAGGACGAAAAAATCAGATCTGTTAATGTAGTTATTTCTTAGCAGATCTGAAAGAAGAGGAAAAAAAAAAGCTTAAATTATCCTGAGAGATCCACCATGGGTCACCTTCTCCACCAGTGTGCAGCAAGTACAATTCCTTTGTCTTCCCCTGGCCTGGATAATTGAGAGTTAGCTGATATGTTTTTAAAGAGGTAGAACATTACATCTTTAAAACTATTCATCACGAATGAGTGAATGATCTGAAATCTTCTCTATAAAAATACACTGAAGATTTTAAATTAAATTTTACAATATCATTAAAGCTAAAATATCTTTAGTCACATCAAATTATTGGCTATTTTTATTCATTGTTCCTGCATTTGGTATACAATTCATATGCCAGAGAAATACAAACCTAGGTAACTCAAAAGAAAAAGACAGAGTTTTTATCCACATGAACAGAGAAATATCTGCCCAGATATTCAAAAACTACAAGGATTTAATTCAAAATACCAGGCATTATGTATTTAAATAAATATATCAAGAGAGAAAGAAGGCAGCCATTGAGCCTAAAACCTATTGAAAGACTGAATACACAAATGTACAATGGCTATATTATACATAAACACAGAAGTCTAATCCCCAACTTAATAGCAACTTGCCTGGGAAACCATATCTATAATAAACAGGCCAGGAAGCCAGTCCTGCTATGTAAGGTTTGCAGGAAGCCAGATTGTTACCTCTAGCAGTAATCTAGCAAGCTAAATAATAACGTATGTAACAACTGAACCAAGTCAGGCCTTGAGTAACTAAAAGCTTCCCTAACTTTTGTCACCACTTTCAATTTAGGACAAACCAGAGAAAGATAAATATGTACCTATAACTAATTACATAGGATGCCCTGCTTCTAATTACCTACCCGCTTCCAGTTTCCCCATGACGATAGCCTCTCACCAAGGCATACTTGAAGCCTTCCCTTTCCTCCACTATAAAGCTTTCCCACTCTTTTGTGTGCCTTTGAGTCTCTGCCAAAATGCAGGTGGCAGTGGTAAAGTCCCTTGCTACAACACACTCTGAATAAGGAGCCTTCACTTTTTTCATTTGTTTGGTCTTCATTCATTTCCACGCTATTGAGCATCCCCCCACATCTATCAATGGGGAACAAACTTAGGTATCCTAGAAAGATAACCTTCATGATATTCTGAGCAGATATTTTTAAGTTTATTTATTTTAGGGAAAGAGAGAGAGAATCCCAAGTAGGTTCTTGGGAACTGTCAGCACAGGGCTTGATGCAGGGCTCAATTCCACAAAATCGTGAAATTATGACCTGAGTTGAAACAAAGAGTCAGATGCTTAACCGACTGAACAAGCCATCCAAGCATTTCTGAACAGATTTTTAAATCTTCATTTTACAACTGTACAGAACTGAAGTTTGTAGATGTTAGATAGCTTCTCCTGTTCTTCTATTTTCATCATGCTAGAGAAAGCATTTTTGGTATATTATTATGATAAAAGTATTTGAGATAGTATTAAAAAGGCACTAAGAATAACAATAATAATAACAACAACAGGTCTAAATTTGTTGGGTGTTTTTTAGCAATACTTGCATTTGTATCTATCAGCTTGCTGGATAAATGTCAGCTCTGTATTTTTAATAGATTCATTGTCTTAAAGTCAGAACATATATCAAACTACATATAGAATTTGAAATAAAAGCACCATAGAAGAAATGACATCTATTTCTTATTTCCTTTAAAAAACACATCAGCAGAAGTATTCAGTCAAGTAGTGACTGAATCAAAAGGGTTTCATAGATAGTATGTAGAAAAACTTGCTATTTTGATATTGACCAGGAAATAAGTAAAAATGAAATTTGAGTGATGCTAAAAAGAGAATAAGCATTTATTTCCCTGGCACTTTTTAGAAGGTAATTGTTTAACAATCACATAAGTTAACAGCACTGTATTTATTTACAAAAGAAGAAACAAGTTGTAAAGGTACTAAGAACATTACATAAAACTTATCAGCTAGTGAGCAAAAGAGTCTATATTTAAAAACCAAATTACTTTTTGGTTTCAAAGTTTAGCAAATATGCTCAAGGAACACTTGATTAAAATTCACTTTAAGATATTCCCTTACCACGTAAGTTGACCACAGAATGTAAAATTCAAGTAATTTATTTTCTAACTATAAAATAATATAACTTAGCTTTATAGGAAGAAGTAGGGAAAATAGCATTTGCACAAATTAGAAATTGCCATGGAATTTACATAAAACCAGATATTATTTTAAATAGGAAAACACAGATGATTAATAAGGCTTTTAAATGCTTGAAAATAAAATGGTATTTAAGCGCAATTCCCTTAACAAACCTGAAAAACTAAAAAGAATCCTACAGATAACATTGTTTAAATAATAATGTGGAATAGGAAATGATGACTGAAGGCCAAATAATTCCTCATGTGGCTTCTACTTTGTCTCACTAATTTCATTTAGTTAATTCAAACCTTTATTAAGAATTCCTTGCATCAAGCATAAATTAAAATGAGCAGAAAGTTGAAATCTGAGAAGCCTTATGAAAAGAAAGAGATTCAAGCTCTTGGCCCTATAGCATTTCATGTTAAGGACGGAAAACTCTTTTCTGAAATGTCTCTATTTTAAGAAAAGTAATAAATTTTTCCATATAAAATTATAAATACCAAAGTTATAATTTGGTCACATTGCTAAATATATAGAGGGGGGAAAGTTGCTTTCTTTATACACCTTAAGGACTTTGCTCCTTCCCATAAACAAGACTGATGTTCAATGACTAATGATTTAATTTGTAAACCTTTTAGTTGTTTCTCCCCATTGGGATGCAATGACATATTTTTCATAAAAAAGAAAAATTGAGGTATTTATTTGCCTTTTTCTACATCAGCCTTTTTAAATGGGGCAAATGAGCAAAAGGTATGGGGCAGGTTGGAGGATGCATTTCATCATCACCCAGGGAATTTCTCAAACTGCATGTATCACAAACTTTGAGGTTGAGGTCAAGAAAAGCAACCATATCATGAAAATCACATATCCCAATAACTTTGAAGCAACAGTATGCGTAGTGGAGGTGAACTGCCTACATTAGAATCCTACTCTTCCCCTGGCTAACTGTAGGACACCAGTCAAATCACTTAACTGTGACAAGTTTCTTCATTTGTAAGATGGAGATAATGATAATAGAACCTAATGATATTGTTGTAAGGATTAAGAGTCTTAATATACATGTGTTGACACAGAGTAAACACCAGGTGAGTGTTATGTTATTATTGCTGTGGATCTGAAATAGAGCAAACAACTTCATTTTGGGAAATGAACAGCAAGTTGAAAGGTTTCTTATGTTTATGGTCAAGACAAATAGGATGCTGTTTGTTCCACTAGCTATGATAATGCTCTTGAGTGAAGGAGGCTGGACACTTCTTGAAGCCAGGGATTATGTCAAAATTACTTGAATCTCAAGTGTCTAATCATGCCTTACATACAGAAGTACTCAACACATGTTGATTGAATATCCAATTTTTTTTTTAAATATTTTTATTTATTTCTAGGAGAGAGAGAGACAGCGTGAGCAGGGGAGGGTCAGAGAGAGAGGGAGTCACAGACTGAAACAGGCTCCAGGCTCTGAGCTGGCCGTCAGCACAGAGCCCGACGCGGGGCTCGAACCCACGAACTGCGAGATCATGACCTAAGCGAAAGTCGGACGCTTAACCGACTAAGCCACTCAGGCACCCCGAATATCCAATATTTTTAAAAAAGTAAACAAATGGATGAACACATGGGTTGACAATTTTCAGAAAAAAGAATGACAGTCATATAGAGTGTGCTTAATATTTAAAATTAAATGCAAATTCTTTTCAGAAGCTTTGTTCAAAACCTAAATCTACATCTTAGAAATGATTCAGTAGTCCTCCAAAAATGATTGATATAGTTCAAAGTATTGCAGTTTTCTATTTCTACTTCAAAGTGACAGAAAATATTTAAGGTCTCTTGAGTGAAAGAGATTGTACTTGTATCACCTCTTGACTAATAAGTCCTACCATCTTTTTTAAAGAGCCTATCTCGTTAAGATTTTTCATTTATATAAACACAGAGGTTTTTTTTTTTTATTAGCTTGAATTGGTTGTCAATTTTTAAGATGAAGATTTAACTAACATAAGACAAAGACAGCATTCCTCTTTTTGAAATCTTAAAGATACTTCAGAGTATATATTGTATTACCCATGCTTCTGTTTCAAAATTAACTATATATGGCATATCTTTCCCTGGTATAGTATGTTTTTAATCTAGGAATCATACTGAATTGAGCTGTATAATTATTTTGTAATTCTAGTGCTTATAATATATTTGTACTATCCATTTCTCAGAAATCATATGGGCGATGCTATATAATCATTTCTTACCCTATTGGAGTCAATTCTTGCTCTGGAAGTATAGATGGGAGGTGGGATGTTGAAAGCCTGAGGGACCAGGTATTCCTCAGCATCCATCATATCTTCCAGGTCCTCTTCATCCAAGAGATTCTGAAAGAACTTGCTGTCATTTGGACTAGGAAGCTTCATGCGATCGTCACCCTAAAAGTTTGCCCACCAGACAAACAAACAAACAAAAAAGATTCTTCTTTTCATCTTAAATATTATGGACTTGGCAGCAAATTTATGTAATATCAAAACAAGTGGTTGAAAACTCATGCACTCGTTTAAAATAATAATTCTTTAACACATTTACCAGTCACGAAGGAGCTTGTAACATACTGAGATATGACATGGTAAGGTAAATACATTTAATATATTTAATAGAATGTGATGAATGCCACTAGAGATGATGAAAGCAGTATGCTATGGCTCTTTTGAGGGAGTCATATTCTATTTCAGACCTGAGAATAATGGTAGGTATCATTGCCAAGATGTTTGAGCTGTGACTTTAAGAATAAATGATAAAGGACAATTGACTTCTCAATCTTTACTGTATTTTATTGGGTTGGTTTGATAGGGTAGAGTTATCGGAACACATGGGCTCCATGATTTGTTCTATAGAATGACACTGTTAAAGTGATAGCGTTCAAAATCACAGCACAAGTGGCAAATAATATAAACGAGTGTGGGAGAGACACCAAAACCCTACTCTTTTTTGCCTCCTATATTTCTTAAATATGATTTTTTTATTTTTAAAAATTATGTGACATTTTGTAAACAAGTTGTTTATGCAAGTTAATTTGGGGAAAAAATAACTGGAAGCTACTAGCTTCTAAAACCTGGCTTTTATCTTCATGTCAGACTATTGATAGGAAGATAAATGCTACCTTGTTTTGTTGAGGAAAATTAATTCAGTGTAACCCAAGGTCCACTTGTTTATGATTTAGGTAAAAATAATCATAGAGAAATATAATACTTAAACTCTCCAATCCAGGTTTTCTAGTGTTTAATATAAAATGTTCTTTTGGACTGTTATTTGATTCATAAGTACATCAATTCACTGGAATCTGAATTATTGCTTGGATACTGTATGTCTCCCATAACAAAACAAAATATATTTATAAATATTTTTTAGGAAATTAAATGCAATATATTGACACTTTTAATTCACTGTCTTCAACCATGAACAAGATTAAAACAAAAATCAATCTTCCTTTTATTCTGAAAAGGGAAGATTATAGTAATGGACATGACTTACCACATAATGTTAATAAAAAGCAGAGTGCTAGATGGCTTGTCTGAGGATAAGGACTTTTTATGTATATGGATAATCATAATTATCTGGCTGTTCAATAGCAGAGGCACTTGAATACTAAGAGAAGATTCCTAGAAGGGGTTCTGACATCAAGTAAAAAGCTCTTTTCCATAAGTCATTTCACATGATATTCTGCTTAGTTAATCGACTTATGAATGGTGATTGACATAGCTCCAACGTCCAGATATATACCAACCTGAATAACTAGGTATCTTTGAGGGTCTCGAGCCATCCTCGAAAATTCAGCAGCCAGTTCTTTAAATTTAGGTCTACTGTCTGCATCAATCATCCAGCCTAGAAATTCACACATAATAAAAGAGTCACTGTATCCATAATTAGGAAGAAATAGAATGTAAATTTTATGAAAAGATAGGCTGTTTGAAAAACACTATTTTAGTAATAATGATCTAAAAAACAAAGAAAGCTAAAGAAAGAAATAATCCAACAGGCAAGGTTCTATCTCAAGCAGTTTGTTGATATTCATAAGTAAACATAATATAATATAGAATAATGATTCTGTTGATCTAATTTAAAATTAATTTTTCTTCTTAGAAAACATAACCTGGGCTAACTATAGGAACTTACAGAGTCTCCTATCTTTTTTCTTAAGTATGGAGAGAATGATTTCTTTCTTTTCTTTTCTTTTCTTTTTAACTTTTCTTGGATGGCTATAGAGGAGGTGATTGGGATATAGTTTATTATTTTGTACAAATTTTAGTTACAGTGCACACCACCAACACAGAGGGGGTGGGGAAAGGAATAGAAAGCAACTTTCTCATGCTATTTTTTTCCTGGTGGGAAAAAACCAACGCAAAGTAATGTTTGTTCAGCACTAGCCATTAGCTTATCTAAGTACTAACCTTTGTAGCATAAAAATACTATCAGCAATTTTCAAGGTATGTATTATTATTTAGCTGGGAATCTAGATAAAGTGGGTCTTATCTCCCCAGGCTCCTTTTAGCTGATGAGATCACAAGAATAAAAGCACCAAGCTTTCCTTGATTTTCTTGCCAAATGACCCTTTTGTTAGGTATTAAAACTCATAAAAGCCAGGTAAAACTCCCTGTTAGGCAAAATCTGTTCCTGATTTTTCATTGTTTCATCACAGTATCAAAATGAAATATCTAAGTCATTTCTTATGCTGGTTATGAGATCAAATTATATAATGTATGCATGTTTTTAAGGTTTTTTCCAAATACGATTGCTGAAGATATTTGATCCAATAAAGCTATAAAGTGTCCTTTTTTTCTCTGAGTTTAATTTTTATTCTTGTTCTGGGAAATCTTTGGGTGTCATTTCATGTATCATTAATATCACTTGATATTTTTCTCTCCTAACAAAACTGTGCTATATGCATTCATTTGTACATACACAGAAAAATGCTGTTGATGCCAAGATGCTAATGAGAAAATAGATGTTTCTGGAATTATTAGAACCGAAAAAGGTTAACTTCACCAGGAGGTATCCGTTTCTTTCTAACTAAATATTGAGTAAATAGAACTACGCTTAGAGAAAAGGGCATTCTGACCTGAACTGGAAAGCACATTTTTTATTTCTTCCCTCACTGTCAGAATGTATCACACATGTCATGAATATAAATCTGAGTAGACCTGGGCCCAAAGTCTCTTATTAATAAGATGCTTATTCACCTTCACCAGTTTGTTTCTTTGCTAACCCTGTGTAAATCAAAAGGGGAAAACCCCAGATTACACAAGAAAGATTGCTGAATGTTAATCTCACTTAAATTAACTAGGAAACTCCAGAGACTTCCTTAATTCTATTTAAATTAAGAGCTAGGCTGCCAAAACACATTTATAATACATATGTGTCTGGGGCATAGAAAGGAGAAAAAAGTTAGAGCATTTGATGTAAACAAATGATCAAATTGTAAAGAAAGTAAACATTCATAATCTTTTTATTTCACTATAGGCTCATGTCTTCCTACTTTCCATTCTGCCCTGCTAATTTCCTGCTGACTAAAACTGGTAAACCTAGTTCCTTTTAATTCATTTTTTAAACTATCAGTTTCAAGCTGTCTTTCTTTATATCCAGATCATTTGTTTAGACTGCTATTTTCCTATAAAGATTACTAACATTATTGTGCCTAATTACATCTCTTTATGAAAGACAATGTGATTGTCATGGAAATGATAAGAATCAAAGTGAAATGAATAAGAGTGGGAGTCATATAATTTTGACTTTGTAACGTGGAAGTATGATATTGCTTCCTGTTCACAGTTATCACAAAAATGCAGGTGTTTACATGATCTTTTCATACTTATTTTTGAACTTTTATATTTTTCAATGTACAAAAACTTATGCAGGTAGATTAATCTGTACAATTGCTTTACTAAGAGTGATGATGGTGATGATAAAATTATTTTGCAATCTTACATTTGACCATGACCATGTACACATCAATAGTGCAGATAGGAGGCTGGGGCAAACGTTCTCCTTTCTCTAATAAATCCGGGATTTCTCTGGTTGGAATTCCATCATAGGGTTTTCCTCCAAAGGTCATCAGTTCCCATATGGTAACTCCTAAATTGGAGATCAAATATTTACATCAGCATTTTAACAACATACTTTGAATAAACCAGCAATATACCAGTGACAAAAGAAAGCTCCCTAGAAGCCGATCAAAAACAGACTAAAGAAAGGCTGTTCAGATTTCTATATTCATTAGTAGAAGCCCAATGCAAAAATCTTTGTGGGAAATTCAATTATCTTATTATTGTCTTGAAATTTTCAAGGGGCGCCTGAGTGGCTCAGTCAGTTAAGCCTCCGACTTCGGCTCAGGTCATGATCTCACAGTTTGTGGGTTTGAGTCCCACGTCTGGCTCTGTGCTAACAGCTAGCTCAGAGCCCGAAGCCTGTTTCAGATTCTGTGTCTCCCTCTCTCTCTGACCCTCCCCTGCTCACCCTGTCTCTCTCTCTCTCTTTCTCTCAAAAATAAAATAAAAAAAATAAAAAAAAAAGAAATTTTTAATGAGTAGCAGAGACAATTCGGAGTGGTTATCAGAATACAGAATCTTCCTCATTATTACTTGTAAGTAATGTTAATGTTTGCTAATTCATGTTACTTTTCACTATACCACATTAGAGCCTATCAAACAATTTATTATAAATATGTATATCCAGTATTAAGTAAATATTATTATAGGCAAAATCTGATGTTGACTAATTTTGAGATTAACCTCTTTGCTATTAAAAGCCCTATAGGCTAACCTGTGGTGCCAGAATGAATAACTTATGATTATGGTAAATAATCGTGGCTCTCTCTTTAACTCAACCAAAGAGAACAAATGAAAAAAAACACACAGATTTATTTCTTTAATACCCGTGAGAGCCTGAGAGAGGAATGATCCATATATAACAAAATACATGTGAAGTAGGCATCACAAAATTGAAAGGAATCAATAATAGTTGATTCCTTAGATAATGAAATCACTTTTTTGAATCACTAGAACAGTGATTCATTCTGTAAAAGCAAATACTCTAAACATTAACATGCAAGTAGCTAGCTTTGATGAAAATGATTCTCATTTGAACAATACTACATACACTACAGACCTCTTCTTCATGATCTAATAATTACACAATTAAGAAGTTATCTTTTCTTAAGGATAAGGATTGTAAGTTCATAAAAAGCTATGTGTGCATAAGAGTCTCACCAAGTAAATTTTGATTGGTGCATATAATATGCAAAATATGGTTTAATATAAAATCTATTAATTAGGACTATGCTTTCTTTTCCACTTCTATCTGTAATGAATTATATATTCAAGCTAAAGTCATTTTTAGCTCATAACAGTTATCATTGACTAATAATAAAAGTACAAAGCTTAAAATATAAAAGTATATGTGAATTGCAAATTATCCTTTATAATACTATCATTAACAATTACCTGATTTTTTGTTAATATTTATATTTTATGATTATTAGGTATAATGTAAAAATGTAATTTTACACATAATTTAACTGTTCAATCTTTATTAAATCCTACTTATGAGGCACCTAGGTGGCTTAGTCAGTTGAGTGTCTGACTCTTGGTTTTGGCTCAAATCATGATTTCATGGGTTTGTGAGATGATGCCCCATGTAGGGCTTCATGCTGTCAGCGTGAAGCCTGCTTGGAATTCTCTCTTTCTCTTTGCCCTTCCCCTTCCCTCTCTCTCTCTAAAAATAAATTTAAAAACTTAATTTTTTTAAACCTTACTTAATTTTGCATATTAAAGAGTGACTTTTTAGAACCACTGAATCACTAAGATTCAGTGTCCGTGAAGCAGGCTGGAACAAGAAGTGGATGGCTGTCCACTTATAGTGGACATTTATAGTGAAAATTAACATGAATTCAGTCAGTCAATATAAATACATATTTATAGAATATGTATTCAAAGAAGACTCTTTTTTTTTTTTTTTTTTTACAAATAGTTTATTGTCAAATTAGTTTCTACATAACACTCAGTGCTCATCCCCAAAGTGCCCTCCTCCATGCCCATCCCCCCCTCCCCCCCACATCCATCAGTCCTCAGTTTTTGTCAGCATTCAAGAGTCTCTCATGGTTTGCCTCTCTCCCTTTCCCCCACCATTTCCGCCCTTCTTCTCCCCCTTGTTCCTCCGTCAAGTTCCTCCTAATCCTCCTATACGTGCAAACATATGATATTTGTCCTTCTCTGCCTGACTTATTTCGCTCAGCATAACACCCTCAAGGTCCATCCATGTTTCAAAGAAGACTTTTTATCAACTTATGTATGCAGTTATAAAAGACAGAATACATGCTCTTATCTTCTATCAGAACTTATAAGAAAAATGCAAAGCAATTAAAAATAAAAAATAACAGAAAATATACAGAAACATAAATATAAAAACAAATTATAAAAAAACAAAGACATAAATAAAAATAACAGAAAATATAATAAACAGAAACATAAATACAAAAGCAAAAGCAGGAACATCAAAACTCCCATTTCTGCCAATAATAATACAATTATATCTTTTTAGGAGTGAAAGATGCGGTTAAACAGAGATGCCTTCATGTAGAAGGACAATTCCAGAAAACTGAATCAGAAACATTCTCAAAACACACAATTCTATCATTCAAAGATATAAACCATAGCTGATGCATATTTATGTTTATAAAAATAAAGATGCACCCAGTGCCAATTCTCTACAAAGGTGCACTATAAACAACGTGTTTCTCTCTGCCTTGTATACCTTTTGCAATCAACTATAATATATCATAAAAATCTTAAAATGCCTTATGGATATGGGTTGATGACCTGAGCTGTATTTCTTTATTTTTTTTAAATTTAATGTTTATTTATTTTTGAGAGACAGAGACAAAGCATGAGAGGGGTAAGGGCAGAGAGAGGGAATCACAGAATCTGAAGCAGCCTCCAGGCTCCAAGCTGACAGCACAGAGTCCCACGTGGGACTCAAACCCATGAACCTGAGATCATGAGCTGAGCTGAAGTTAGAAGCTTAACTGACTGAGTCACCCAGGAGCCTCACCTGAGCTATATTTCAAAGCTGAGTACTATCTATCTATCTATCTATCTATCTATCTATCTATCATCTATCTATTTATATTTGCCTGCTTACTTATTTTAGAGGCTGTTTAAAATTTGTCTACAGTAGATTGCTACATTTAATTCAGCGATATATACATAGGAAAAAAGGGAAAAGAAAAAGAAAAAAGTATGTGATATATATGTCATAGATCAAAATATATATGTAATATATAAATCTATCATATAAAATATAACCTATGGATTTATCTATGTCATATAATATATATGCTGATTTGTACCATATAATATATGCAACAGATTTATGTTTCTATTTAGTCCTTATAGTTCAATAACTAAATTTTTCAAGCATTTCCCTGTACTTTTTAAAATCTCATACACTCCATATTTTCTACTTCTAAGCTGAGTAGAATACATGAGGTCTTCATGGAAATTTTAGACCTGTAGCATACATGTATGGAGGAAAAAAACACTTTAAAGAAATGTCTTAACTTTTTATTTTATTTTTATTTTTTAAATAATTATATTTGAGAGAGAGATGAGATAGAGAGACAGAGAGAGAGAGATACAAAGACAATGGGGGAGGGGCAGAGAGAGGGAGACAGAATCTGAAGCAGGCTCCAGGCTCTAAGCTGCCAGTACAGAGCCCAACACGGGCTAAACTCAAGGACCACAAGATTATGACTTGAGCTGAAGTCATACACTTAACCACTGAGCCACTCGGGAGCCTCTTAAGTTGGTTTTTTTTTTTTTTTTTTTTTTGATAATTTGTGCTTTTCTAGATAAGAGGTGTAAGTTATTTAGTGATTGAATAGCTTAAATATTTTGCCTAAAAAGCAATAACAAAGATAAAACTAAGTATAAATTTGAGTAAACTAAATTGTACAATGCTTTCAAGACCCACCACCCCCTTTTTACTGAAATGAGCATTATGCTTTTAATTTGTAAGAAATATTGGTTTTATTTAAACTTAGAAAAAGTGTTAATTCATTCTCATCAATACCTGGATGAACTCAGGTTGTGAATAGACAGATTTTAAGTATCTCATTTCAACAATTAAATTAAATGCAATTAAATGAATGTTCTAAGCTTAAAAATCACATTTTTCTAGTTTATATTATTTACTCTTTAAAATGTCTGTTTAGTCCAAAGTAGTTTGTAAATTAAAATCAAAGCTGCAATTAGCAATCTTCTCTTATTTCTCCCCTCACATTTAGTGCTTTCACCTTACTGCTTTCAGTGATTGTTCTTTGTTACAATAACTTCTTTCTTATTATAGAACAGAAATTCTTTAATTTTAACATGTCTTCAAAGAGTTTTTGAAAATTAAGGCCATGAAGTTCTATGACATTGTTCCTAAACTAAAGTTGGGTTTTTTTCCTGATCAGAAAATTTGCTACCAAACCTAGGGTTATGGTAGACAACTCAACTGAGATATTAATATATTACATTATAGAGAATCAAGGAATAAAGAAAAAGGCAGATAACAATATTATTTAGTTTTTTTAATAGAAGAGCAAAGAGTTAATTCCCTTAAGAAACAAGGCTTATAAGTAGGTATTTCCAATACAATAAAATAAATTGGTTTAAGATATTTTACATGAACCTAATATACTTAATTTTGCCTTAAAACCCTTAATTCACAAGGAAGATTTATTTACCATAACTCCAAACATCACTCTGATGGGTGAACTTCCTGTAGTGTATACACTCCAACGCCATCCATTTAATTGGCATCTGAGAAATAAAAAGAGAAATGAAAAGTCAATGTTTTATAGTTATATATAAAAAGTCATTTCTAGGGGCGCCTCGGTGGCCCAGTTAGTTAAGCGTCTGACTTTAGCTCAGGTCATGGTCTCACGGTTCATGGGTTTGAGCCCTACGTCGGGCTCTGTGCTGACAGCTAGCTCAGAGCCTGGAGGTTGTTTCAGATTCTATGTCTCCCTCTCTCTGTGACCCTCCCCTGCTCACGCTGTGTGGGTCTCTCTCTCTCCCTCTCAGAAATAAATAAAAACATTTAAAAAAATTTTAAAACAAGCTAATAAAAGTAATTTCTATAGTCATTTCTCAAAATATGAGTTTCTGGGCTTGCCTCGGTTATATTTGTTGATTGTGTGTATAGAAAACATAAACATAATAATAATAAAATTTTAACTTTTAATTTATTTGTTTAATGTACATCCAAGTTAGTTAGCATATGGTGTAACAATGATTTCAGGAGTAGATTCCTTAAGGTGCCTTACCCATTTAGCCCATCTCCCCTCCCATAACCCCACCATCAGCTCTCTGTTTGTTTTCTATATTTAAGAATCTTTCATGTTTTGTCCCCCTCCTTGTTTTTATATATATATTTTTTGCTTCTCTTCCCTTATGTTCATCTGTTTTGTATCTTAAATTCCTCATATGAGTGAAGTCATATGATATCTGTCTTTAATTTTGTTTGGATAATATACTTTAGTTTCATCCACATAGTTGTAAATGGCAAGATCTCCTTCTTTTTGATTGCCCAGTAATACTCACATATATATTCCACATCTTCTTTATCTATTCATCCATCAGTGGACATTTGGGCTTTTTTTATACTTTGACTATTGTCAATAGTGCTGCTAAAAACATTTGGGGTGGCCCCTTTGAAACAGCACACCTGTATACCTTGAATAAATACCTAGTAGTGAAATTGCTGGGTCACAGGGTAGTTCTATTTTTAATTTTTTGAGGAGCCTCCATATTGTTTTCCAGAGTTGCTGCACCAGTTTGCATTCTCACCAGTAGTGCATAATAATAAATGTTATTTTTTAATACAGGGAACAATGAATTGAAATTTATAAAATGTGTAAAGTGAACTAATCTAAAGATATATTTATTTTTAAAAGTTTCATAAACAATTACAAGTAAAATAATAAAATAAGTATCACTTTTCTATATTTCTTAATGTTCAGCAATTAAGTCAGTTACTAGTTATTATGACTCACAATACTATTCTAAACATCTAAGAAATGTGTTTCTAAAAATATGGTCTATTACATTTTTGCCCCCAAAATGAGACTTCTTATATTTTCAGTTATCCTTTCTTTGACCACCAGTACAATTGACTCTTTCTACCCTTGGCCTTTCCTTTTTCCTCTCATATAATTTGGTCACTGAAAACACCTATAATAACGAATTCCAAATTTAGGCTTGCTTTGTTCCCCAGCCACAAATGATGTCCCTTGTCTTGGTTAGCCAGTATTGAAAATATGTACCACTTTCAAAATAGGAATTCTATAAAAGGATATGAGAGGATCAGTACAAATCTATCACCACTACAAGAAAAACAACTCACATACCCTGCTGCTGATGGGTCAGCAGAGTAAGTTTCAACTAGGAAGGGAAGCATTATATAGCTGGAAATAAAATTAGGTTCTACAGAATAAAGATAAACACTTCTACTTTGTAGTTGAAAGCTTAAAACTAAATAGGCCTTGGAAATCATGAGGTTCGCTGCTCACCAAGGTGATATCAAGGTAACTCTGACAGAATCATGGCATTCAGTGAAAGGGAACAGAAGACACATTGAAAGTAATTTCCCTATGGGCAAGGAGTTAGTTGACTTTACGGACTATGGACATTGTGTTAGAGAAGTAAGTTTAAATCACAGGTGGCTTGATAAAGACTTAATGGTTACTAGGCATTTAAAGCTATAATGAATCTTGCTTTAGACAAATCCTACAGTTGTATGTTCTCAAGACAAGTCAAGTCATGTGATTTATAGACTTCTACTTTGCAATCTTGTAGTGAATTTCAAAGCTGTGGCCTCAAACTGCTGCAATTTGGTAGTAAACAGGCAAAATAGTCTAATAAAATCAAGGAAATGTCAGGAAATACTACAAAACTGAAGGTTTTTTTAAAATTTTGTTTTCTTTTGTCTTGTGATAAGATTTGAAGATAAATAGTTATAAAGAGATCATATAAAGTTATATAAAAATCATATACTACACGATACATAAAATCAATGCTAAGCATTTGAAAGCCTATCATTGCAAAATATTTATAATATATATTTGGATGGCTTATGATAAATAAGGCCCATGATAAACATATTTATATGATACATTAATAACTTTTTTGTTAGCATGAGTTTATACATAGGTTAAGGTTGCATTTGCTTATTTCATTTGGCCTCTCCTGATTTAGTTTTCCCGTATTAAGGCTAGAGGAACCTCCAGATGGAGAAGAGCTATCCTCACTATTTAGCCAAGGACAGCAATCTAAGCAGCAGGTTAATGAGAAAAACAAGAGCTGGAACGAAGGCATGAGCTGAGACCATATGGCAAGAATACAGTTGTCAGGCAAGGCCTGAGGCTAAAGTCATAAAAGTAGAAGCGGCAATGGCACTGTTAAGATTCCCGGGATATAGCAGGCTACATTCTGGTGGAAAGAATCGAAAAATAAATAAAATATTTTGGTCAATTATATTATATAAGCTTAAAGACATACAACCAGATTAAGAGGAATCTGTTGTACCTGGCATAGGAGGATTAAAAGTTAAATAGGATGATGAACTTTCCAATGAGTTATGGTTCTTGGTAGTCACCTGGCTTCTCTCTAGTTTATGCAAGAATAGCTGTGATTCTCTGCAGTAGTCAGTCCTGCATTCTTAGGATCACTGAAACAATGTCCATGGCCCTTAAGTGTAATTTCTAGATTTCCTAAGGACCCACCTACTTCCCAACACTGGGCATGACATAAGGAGCACTAGAGACGAATTGTCTTATTTTGACTCTTTTTGAAAAATGGAAGGTGGTGAGATTTGATAATCTCTTAACTTCAGGCTTATTGGCTTCTTCTTATAACATATAAGGAAATAAAAGTATATCATACTATATTTTCAAACAATATTGCTCTAAAGAGATGCCCACCTTTCCTCCATCAGCATTATACTCTTTTTCATCTCCTTCTAAGAGTCTGGCTAGTCCAAAATCTGTGATTTTCACATGATTTGGAGACTTCACTAAGACATTTCGAGCTGCCAAATCCCGATGAACAAGCCGTCTTTCTTCCAGGTACATCATTCCCTGAAAAACACCGAATTCCAAAAGATAGTTAATGTCTAGGGTTTTTTATTGTCTGAAAAGCAGTTTCTTAGCCTTCAGTTGTAAATGCTTGATTTCTCTAAGTGAAGCCAGAATCCTGGAATATTGTTCAAAATTAGGAAGAAACCTAACAAAGGGACAAAAAAGCAAACCACAAATAGCTTTTGGCCTTTTCCCCCTAAAGTCCTGTAATGAATGAATTACCTGTATATGAATTAAATGTTGGATCATTTTCCCCCAGAGATTTTATACTCTTTTGCAAATATTTCCATTAGTGAGGTATGTGTGTGTCTCAGTAGGCAAGCTACAGACCCACGTGTTTCTATTTTTCTTCTTAACAACAACTGCTTCATGGCACCCTCCCTTACACACCTGCTCCAAACAAATACATCCATCCATAGTTTTAAAAAATGTTTCATATGCAGGTTTAATGGCACCAAAATCACTATCATAGTTTCTATCAAAGCTGAAGAATTATATTATTCTTATAGTTAAGCAAAAAATGAATTATACCGTAGAGGCATTAAAAGCCTGCAATTTTTTAAAATGGCTTCAATGACAGTAGTAATCATTAGAAGGACCCACAAGCGAAACTATATTGTTTATTACGACCCTAATAGTAGCCTTTAATGTTTTCTTCAAAAAAACATATAGCGTCATTAAAAATAAAATTTATTACTGATTGCCAACAATTTACATATATACATACATATATACATATATATTCACATATATCCATAAAAACAATAAATATTAATTTTACTTTACCACAAAGTAAACTAAGAGTCATTAAACATTAGCCTTAACTAAAGGTTGATGTAAAGCCAAAGAAGTAAACTCAGAGGCCTAGATTAGAATGAACATATTTTTATTGAAGTGTTAGAGTAAATTCTGTATTTGAGGATTTCAGTGGTAAAAAATGTTGTCATTTAAAAACAAATCAGAATTATTATAAAATGGTTAAAGCATATTCTCATGCCAATTGCAAATCAAAGCTTTTGGTACTTAATACCACAATTGCAGGACTTTGAAGGATTAACGGATTCTGATATCAAAACGAAAGCTGTGGAAAACAGACATATAAATCACACAGGTGAAAAAAAATGAACCATATACCCAGTGTAGTGTAAAGAGAAGATTGCTTCAACAGCATCATGAGCCAAGCACTATACTATATATGCCCATTAAACACAACCAGTGGATGTACTGCCTGATATGGTCCAACTGGTCGGCAGTGTATTTGTGTTTTCTGAAATCAGTCCACAACTGAGATTTATAAGGTTTTGTCTTCTTTCCTCAACAGTCCCTAAATAAATTATTTGATTATGCCAATTTAGAAACTCCCAGAATAAAATGAATCTAGAAACATAAAGCTCTTATATGACTTAAGGGATCAAAAAATTTAATTTTTAAAAAACTTATTTGCCCTTTTAAGAAATGTCCACTGGGGCGCCCGGGTGGCTTAGTCGGTTAAGCGTTCGACTTTCGCTTAGGTCATGATCTCGCGGTTCGTGGGTTCGAGCCCCGCGTCCGGCTCCGTGGTGACTGCCAGCTCAGAGCCTGGAGCCAATTTCAAAGTCTGTATCTCCCTCTCTCTCTGACCCTCCCCTGCTCACGCTGTCTCTCTCTCTCTCTCCTAAGGAAAAAAAAAGAAAAAGAAGTGTCCATGAATACATTCATCTTTCTTTCTCTTTCCTAGCACTTTCATATCAGAATATAAAAAAGTGTGTTGGCCACAAGTTAATATTCAGATCCACACACAATGACAGAATACACACTATGTTCCAGGCACTGTGCTAGACATCGGGGAAACAAAAAAAGACTCAGAGGAGATCTGTTCATTGCACGGGAACAGAGCTATTGATAAAGTGGGGGGGGGGGGCATGGAATACAGACTTGAATGGATCAGTGTGATACATGTAAGGCATTTAAAGAGAGCTGTGTTTTGAGGATCATTTGTAGTATAGCTTAGAAAGTGAGCATGAGAGGGGAGCCTTCGGAGATCCTGAGTCCTAAGTAAGGTTTGAATGATGTCCACCAGTTGTGCAAGGTGAGGAGAAAATTGCAGTTAGAGAGAACATACACAGAGACATCGATACCATGGTATATTGATACAAAGGTAGGTAATTCTGTATTCTAAATATTTATGTATAAAGGAGGGAGAGTGGAGAGTGGTGAAGCTGACAAAGAATTGAAAATTCAAATTCGAAAAAGTTTGATTCAAGAAGGGCCTCTTATGTGTCCTGGTAGAGAAGCTGCATTTCAGTGTGGTGATGCAGAGGTTGTCTGATAAAGGAGAGTGACAAAAATGATCATTGGAGTCTTGAAAAATATCACCTGATGTATAGACGAAGGATTGGACACAAATACAGCATATACATATTTGGCCCCCACACTGCACGTCTTACAAACACCCTCATTAGCTGATTACTGGCTGTACTCTATTGAGGGTACCTCCAGTTTCCCAGGATCCCACCACTCACTATTATTACCCACGAGTTAATTTATGATACTTATCTAGTTCGTCATGTCTAAGCATCTGAATCTTCAACAAAACTAGTCCAGAAGAAAATTCAGGGAGAGAACTATTCCAAGTTACACTTACACAATAAGGTAATCATCTTGGTAATTGAATAATGAAGAGGAGAGTAAACTATGAATGATTCTGCTTTCTGACTTTTGTAATTTAGGTGGATAACAATTCCTTTAACTAAATATTATCCTAATGCAAATATGTGTATATTTCTACAATATGTGCAGGAATAGTGGCATATCTTATACCAATAGGGAACTAATAACCACAAAGAAATTTAAGACCCAAATGACATATCCATGTTATAAGCAAAACTTCAAAAACTCCAAATGTTCTTTGATATGCTATATGCTAAGTCTTAGCAGGTGACAGAATATCCTGAACCTCAATTCTATTTGTCTGTAACAAAGTGTTTCCTTCAAAATAACGAGAACTGAGTTCAGGCAACCAGATGGTAATTTCCGTATAGTTTCCCTCACCTCCCTGACCATGATTAAGAGATAAAACAGAAGCATCTGTATCATTACCAAATCATCAAAATACATTTGTATGGTTGCTTTGTAACTATGCAACATCATTGTACAAGTACACACCTTTAGATCATTAATTATGATGGCTACCTTAGTTCTACATTCACACGTAAATTACAGTGAATCATCTATGGGATTGCTCATGATAGGTTTCTCCACATTGCAATTATTAAGATAGGATTTTCTTACCAGATGATCTCATTAGAATCACATTCTCTGCTAGATTCCTTCAAAATAAAATCACTCCTTAAATCAGAGTGTGATGCAATTAAGGAGGCAGTTATTAGAAATAACAGTGACAAAAATAAACTGGATGAAGTCCTTTGAAGTATGAAGATGATTAAAAAGAAGGGCCATTTATTATCACAGAGAGATGCTGCATCGGTTGAAAAGAAGCTTACTCTGTCTTGTAGCAACTCCATGTCCTTGCTACGTCTGCCTAGGTAGAGTACCTTATGAGAATACAAACACTGACAATAATGACAGGTAACATTAACTGAGTACTCAGAACATGGCAGGCATTAAACTAAATGCTTCTACATTCATAGGTTAACTTAATCCTCTGAGATGCATACTGTTTGCATCCCATTTTAAATATGAGAAAAACAAGTCTCAGAGAGGTCAAGTTACTTGCTCCATGTCATCTAATGAGTGACAGGACTGGGGTTTGTTTCCCGTGGAGTTCTGAAGTCTGTATTTTTAAGCCTACCCCCTCTCTTGATGGGTTACAGGGTTGTGTGAGCATGTAGAAATTAATGTACAGAGTGAAGCCACTTACTTTTAAAAGATCCTAGTTCTTTTGGAACAAAAATATTATAAGAAATTTCTGTGAGGGGCGCCTGGGTGGCTCAGTCGGTTAAGCGTCTGACTTTGGCTCAGGTCATGATCTCACGGTTCGTGGGTTCAAGCCCTGCGTCAGGCTCTGTGCTGACAGCTAGCTCAGAGCCTGTTTCAGATTCTGTATCTCCCTCTCTCTGACCCTCCCCCGCTCAGGCTCTCTCTCTCTCTCTCTCTCTCTTTCAGAAATAAATAAAACAGTAAATTTAAAAGAAAAAAGAAATTTCTGTGAATTTCAGGGCATAATGCAAGTGATTGACTTATATTTTTATTTAAAATTCAGCTAAATAATAGAACCTTTTCTGACTTAGCAGGAATTTGAATCGTATAAATTGGAAACTTAATTCTTGCTTTGACCACAGGATATGTAGGATGGTAAAGTTGGTTTGAGTGAAGGTTCTGGGGTCAATCACTTGGATTGAACCCCAACTCTGCCATGTTCTGTGTGACTCTGGCAAGTTAATTAACCTGGCACTCACCTTCATCTCTAAAATGACCATAATAGCACCTGTACCACAGATTGTTGTAAAGATAAAATGAGTTAATATATGTAAGAAGATTAAATCGTAACTGCTGTGTAGTAAGTACAGAACACGCAAGCTTTTATTACTGTTCTACAGATAGATATCAACAGTTGTAGTGTGAACAAAAATAACTTACCCTCATTAACTTGAATTGCTTATTTCAGAAAATCTGTGAACCTCAACTAATATATCACAGTAGGCGTTCAATAAATGTTTACAAATGGTGATATATATACCCATAACCAATCCATCATGATTAATGTATGGATACAAATTCCAAATAATTACTGTTCAAACTATTATTTTAGTAATGATTCACCTGAGGATGATGTCATATAAAGAGAAGGAAGAATTAAGGAATCTCCTAAGAGATTTGGTGCCCTCCATAAGTGCATCACAGAATTAGGATCATAATGAAGTTAAAGGTCATGAATAAGATAGGTTGGAGAGTTGTCAACGTTGCAGGAAGGGTGAATAAAACAGTATATATGGGGGTTTTCGGTAGACATGTTTTAGGAGCATTCTGTCTACTTCTAAATCTAGGTGCTGTGAGTCTAA